GACACAATTACTAATTGTTTAACTTGCCAAATTGCTGACAAGTCTGCGAAAACACGAGTGGCTCCTATGCAGCCGGTACAATTGCCAGAACGTCCATGGCAAAAGCTCGGGATTGATTTTGTAGGTCCGAATTATTCTGCACCTGCGAACGAGCGTTACATTATCTCATTAATCGATTACCGAAGTAAATGGCCAGAAGTTGCGTTTTGCCCAAATATTACGGCCAAAACTGTAATTTATTTTTTGACTAAGGTATTCAGTCGTGAAGGTTATCCTGAAGAACTAGTTTCTGATAATGGTACGCAGTTAACTAGCCAGGAGTTTGAAACTTTTTTGCAAAAACGTAACATCAAACACAGATTTTCTGCGGTGTATCACCCAGAAGGAAACAGTACTGTCGAGCGCTTTCACCGGATTTTGAATGAAACTATTCAAACGGCGCGAATCGATAAACGTCCAGTAAAAAATGCTGTGACGGAATTTCTAGGTACTTATCGCGCTACGCGACATGCCACTACTGGGGAATCCCCTTCTGTGGTACTACACGGGCGTCATATGTTGACTTTGTTAGATATCATTGGAGTGACAACATCGCCTAAGCAAATGTCTTCAGTCGAAATAGACAATAGAACAAAAGCAAAGCAAGCAAAGTCTAAAGAGGCGTACGACAAACGGAAGTGCGTCAAAACTAGAGTTTTTTCCTCGGGAGATATTGTTAGAATTAAAAAGCCCTGGAATGTCCGCAAGGGTGAGAGTAAATTTACTGAACCGGTGGAAATTAGACAACATGTTGGTCTAAACACTTACGTAATGACCAATGGTCAAAAATGGAATGTGAAACACCTAGCCCCATTTCTAGGAAAGCCAACCCTATTGGGTCGAGGGGGAGATAGTCGTGATGATCACAGTAGTGACTTTATAATTTTTCCAACTGCTGATGATTCAATGAACAACAATTCAACTCAGTTAGGTTCACGTTTCTCAAGGAGTAAGAGAGTTAGAAATCCACCTAGATGGACTCGTGACTATGTTATGGGTAAGAAATAGAAGTGTTTATTGTTATAGTAACTGAGTTTACATTGTACCTTATATGGTATACAGTCATTTTTACTGTGATTATAGTTTCTGCTTTTAGAGAGGGGGAAATGTGGTGTTCTGACTGTTGTCCTGTGTGACAATACCGACGTTGAGGGCAGGAGTGGCCACAGAGAGAGAACCACGAGGAAAGAATTAAATTCTGTTGTATGAGTTATACTGTTGTATTAGATTGTCTTTATTGCGAGTTTACAAGGACTCAACACCATACCTTGTAAGAAGGTAGTAGAAGGTATAAAGGAAATAGATGATCCCTTAAGTGATGTAGAGCTGGATAGTATTGTAGAAGGTGATTCTATAACCGAAGAAAAGGGGGAAAAGGAAAAAGGGAAAACTTTGTCAAAGCAAACGAGAAAGAGTCTTAGAAACAGAAGAATGCCAAAAAGGTATAATGAGTTTATGATGAACTAAGCAAGCAAGTTAATATTTATAAATCTAGATTGACAAGTTACATTGATAGTGATTTTGTCACAACCAAGAAGTTTTAGTTTTGTGTTTATAAAGAAAACAGTTGTTCAGAGTTTAGTTTTGTGTTTATAAAGAAAACAGTTGTTCAGAGTTTAGTTTTGTGTTTATAAAGAAAACAGTTGTTCAGAGTGTTAACAGGGAAATGTTTAGTGTTAATAAAAGTTATTGAGTTAAGGTTCTATTCGAGGTTAAGGGGGATGTGGTGTTGTGATTATTTACAATATTGGCAGTAGCGCCACCTATTGGCGTTAAGGTTGGAAACTTAGAGAGGAGCCATAATGATGATGAATGAATAAAGGCAGAGAACCATATGATGAGTTCTACTGTTTGTACTTCATTTGATGTATGCGTAGTTACATGATATACTACTGACAGTACAACATTACACCTACCTAGGCCCTAGGCCTTTGTATAATAGTAGTAGTATGTATTATAGTAACATTGCACTGTAGCACAGCGATTGCTGGACGTATAAAATTAAAATGTAACACTTCAAGAATAGGTTATAGGACCTACTCTAGAGATAGCTCAGCTTGCCAAGCTTAGGCGAAGTCCGTTGTTTGTGCCGGCAGCGTCTGTCACTAGGCTAGGCCTGATGATGAGCTAGCTAGCCCATAACGTACTAGGCCCTACTACTACTGCTGCTGAAACCACCGTCGCACCGACAAACAGGAGAGGCTACAGTAGAGCAACGCTAGGCCTGCCCCTACGTCCTATTCCAATTTGATTACGAGCAATTTTCTTCTATTCATCCGTCATCCGGCTGGACTATTCACAGAATATCCATTCCTGCAAAACAATTAAATAAATAGATCTAAACAACAATATATCAATTTTAATCACAAAATTATCAACAATTTCTGCAACATCAGTACTGTATATTATAAAAACTGTATGAGATAAACCTGTAAAATAAAGACAATGGCATTTTATAAATAATTATAAATTATATATCTTTTTTTTTTTAAATTATGAATAGTTTGTCCAACTATGTCTTAGCCAAATTTTGATATAGGCATGACTACTTTCCATAACCATGGCACATTTAACATGGACCTTATCATTATTTTATGATTAAAAATAGTTATATATTATAGTATTGATCAATTATTTAATGTCAGAGTTCCCTGTAAAGTGTCTGTCTCATAGTGAAAATGTGAATTATTAATAGCAATTAAATATAGGTTAGCAAATATGCTATGGTTAAAATTAGTGTACCTCCTGTAGATTGAAATAGGGCCGCGACATTTTATGAATATTTGGGAAAATATAAATTCCAACAACTGATTGAAAACTGAAGAATAAGTACAAGTACTTATCAAGCAGGTACAATACCAAGTGCATTCACAATCACTCACAACAGAGCCAGACAGAAGCAGTGATGGGGGCTGTTTATTTTATTTTTAAATTAAGGACAAGGTGTACGTATTTTTAAAATTACTAAAAAAATGGTATCTGGTAAATTCATTTGCTTTAACAAACTATAGCCCTCCTAAAAAAGTAGTTTTATGGCTTACATTTTATCTTACTGTATTTTATCTTATCTTATATACTATATTATTTTAACAATAAATGAAAGATAAACACAGAATTCTAATAAGTAATTTAAAGACTGACGCACCTTTACATTAGTTCCGGCCTCGTTGGTGCCATCATCATTTTATCTAGAGACGAGTCTCATAGGCCCGGCTCGTCCCGTCCACTACACCAGCTGTAGGTGGTTAGTTCATGTTCGCCGCGCTAATCAAATTTCTCTTTGCTCTTGGGAATACAGACGGGCTGCTCCTCTTTTTAGTGACATTCCCTTGTTGTTAAAAATACGTAAACGTACCCGCGACAACTCCCGTAGCTTATCCAGGTATCCATTGTCTTCAATTTTGTGTCGCAGTAGCGACAGCTTTTCCACGCACTCGATCTTGTGCGCAGAACAGAAATTTCTCTGGAATAATTTTTTGGCGTTTTGGTTGGTGTTTTCTTTTCCTTCATTAACAATACCACGATATTCCACACACCGCACGTAGCCATGTCCAAACTTCCTGACTTCTCTTTACATTCGTGGCACCAAAACGAGAACCGTTTGATTGGTTGACCTACCGTCATAAAATTTACCCTATTGCCAGATACGGCATCCTAAAAATTACGACATGCTTGTCACGGCCAGCGGTCTGCAATCGATTTGACTCGCTCTTTTACATTCTCATCAAAAAGTTTTTCAACATAAACTGACGCTGGTGGCGCTTTCTGAAATGCGCCAATACTACGAAAAATCCATAAATTAGAGAGTTTTGGCAAGTCTACTGGGCTGTGTATACATTGCCTTGGTTTGGCTCTGTAATAATTAGTGGTCGTGAGACTAGTTTGGGCCATACCTAACCTGGTCGAACGTTTCGTTTGGGCCTGTGCCCTAGCTGCACTGATGAGGCCTGGAAGGCCGAAAAGGACCCGTTAAGAATGACAAAATATTCCCTGCATCTAACCGAGCCACATAGCTTGTATTCCACTATTTGCATTCACACCTGGGCTGCAGTGGTTTATCCAAGT